TTTTGGCAAGAACACGTTGCAAGCAAAGCGAAGTCAGTCGTTGATGCCCTGTGGTTCATGTTTATTGTTCATCCCTCTTCGCTTCATGTTTTACCAGAGGGAAAAGACTCGTCAAATTGCCACAGGAACGACCGTTGATCTCTCAGTAGAAGAGAGAGAGAGAGAGAGAGAGTTCAGACAAGTTCGTAGCCATTTGTACGTTTTATTGCGGCGAGCAAAGCGATCGAACAGAAAAACCCTAGGTTCTCAGTAGGGAGATCCAATCTCTCCCCTGATCTCTGTGCCTAAGCTCAATGGCGAATCGAAGATCAAAACTATTGGTGCTATTGTGCTTTTTATCGTGCGCTATAATTGCAATTGCAGGGTTAGTGTGGAAGGTCTCATTCATCTGTATCACCTTCATGTTTTTCTTTGGTTCTGATTGAACAATTGGATGATTGCAGGAAGAGTTATTATGATATTCTTCAAGTGTCAAAGGGTGCTTCAGACGAGCAGATCAAGAGAGCCTATCGGAAGCTCGCATTGAAGTATCATCCGGATAAGAACCAGGGGAATGAGGAGGCTAATAAGAAATTCGCTGAGATAAATAATGGTATGCTAGATATTATGCTAATTTTTCGATTGTTTTTATTTCAATATCCTCTCTTGTATCTTAAGTAATCTAATTTTTTTATATTGATTGGTTGATTATCAGCTTATGAAGTACTATCGGATACTGAAAAGAGGAGTATATATGATAAGTATGGTGAAGAGGGTCTCCAACAGCATGCTGCCAGTGGTGGTGGTAGAGGCGGGGGTATGAACATTCAAGACATTTTTAGCTCGTAAGTTCATTTCTCTTGGTTCCTTTTTGCTTAGAAAATGCATCTTGCTTATTGAAACTTGACCTTTAATGCATGAAAACCTTGATACTGATGATCCTCCTATAACTGAATGTTGGATGGTTCTAATAAATCTGACGAATGTGTTTTACTCAATATAGATCGATGTTGATTTGAGTAGCTGGCTGTTCTAATCAAAGAATAGTCATTGCATAGCATAAATTTTCCAACAATTTGTGGTCAACAGTCACTCTTGCATGGTGGTAATCATTACATGTAATCTATCTTATCTGATTGTTACATATGAATGTGATCCTTCATTTACAACATGATATCATTTTGAGTCTTATATGAACTAGTATCATCCTTATAACCTATATCTGGCTGTCACTGTGTGTTTAAAAACTGATATTATAATATGCATTTTTCCCTTTTATGGTATATAAAACCATCAAACTTGAGTTGAATGTTGTTATTCTTTGTCGTTATGGTGACAACTAATTTTAAGATGGAAAGTTTGTTTCAATATTCTCTGTCATTTCTGACAAGATGAAGTTGTCTTCTAGTTTTTTTTGGTGGGGGTCAAATGGAAGAGGAAGAGAAGATTGTGAAAGGTGATGATGTAATTGTCGAGTTGGATGCAACACTTGAGGATTTATATATGGGAGGATCATTGAAGGTATGTAATATGTTATATTGTTTCCACCCCAAAATGAATGAATCATCTGCTTTTATCTGACATTATAGCTGCTATAGTGAATAATATCTGAAGCTTAATATTGGCCACCTTATGTGAATGTTGTCAATAATTATGAGTAATGGTTGTTAGATTTGTCCAACCTTGAGATTCTGACATGGGGACACAATTGAATTTTTGGAAGCGCTTATTTTTCTTTCTTTTTAAGTTAGGATATTGTGGAAGTTGCAGGATCACTTCATTCATTTTTCCTCACAGGTAGTTACTATCAGCCTTACACATGGGGCACCTAGAAAGTGTCTATCATTGGTCACACTTATTACCTTTAGTGGCATCACACTTTTTGAAAGAGCTAATGCTCTAAGCAATTTGTAGCTATTATCTTAATTAAGCAACAAAGACTTCAGAATGGATCTTCTTTACTATGTTAGTATGAACTCCGTATGACCTCGAGATGTATATTCTGCTGTTGTATTGACTTGACTGGTTTAGGGCTTTGCATACTTTGAGGCACTTTGCGGCTATTATTTCATTTGTCTTCTATAATGTGAAATCCGTCAGGTTTGGAGGGAGAAAAATATTTTAAAACCAGCCCCCGGTAAGAGACGCTGCAATTGTCGAAATGAGGTCTATCACAGACAAATTGGTCCAGGGATGTTCCAGCAGATGACAGAGCAGGTATATTATTCCTCTTGACAATCTTGCGGTAGAAAACCCTCCAACGACCCCTTTTTTTGGTCTAGTGCTTATCCAAACCCATCCGGGGTTGTTTTACATTTGGACTTTCTGAACCCTCTGATATCTCCTTGTAGGTTTGTGACCAGTGCCCAAATGTAAAATATGAAAGAGAGGGTATTTTATCACTGTGGACATTGAGAAAGGGATGCAAGATGGGCAGGTAAGCTTCTCTTCTTTTTCTTTTTCTTTCTTTTTTTTTTTTCTAATAAAAGGGAAAGGAAACAAAACATACTCAATTATAGTAAAGTGATCGTCATACTTCCATGTTTTTGCTGAATGAAAATAGTTTGTGTTGCCCCTCCCCCTTCCCTCATTAATTTCCTTTTTGAATGATGTTTTTATGCATGAGTGATTTCAGAAAATTGCCTTGGTTGCAAAGTCCAACTTTATGGAGATTATCGATACTTCGTCCCCTAAGCAATCTTGGAATTTGGATATTTCATCAAAGTTGGTGACGACGATTTAAATCTAGCGATAAAAGTTATGAGAAACTTAGTTGTGGTGGCTGCAAAGTGCCAAAGCCTATTGAAAGGCTTGTACACCTTGTCAATTTTTTTTTTCTGATCTAAATGGAATCAAGGAGAAATCATATTTTGTTCGCAAATTTTAGTTAACACATTTTTCAACCTCTACATGTCAAATATGACGGATGATGGTGTGGAGGAGCCTGGCCATTAAGGAATCACTTAGATATGTTGATTACTATGTTGCTTTCTTGCCTAGGATTGGTATTTGTATGCCTGTACTACTTAAGGAAATGACATTTTATGTAATTCAGAATGATTCAAGATAATACTTATTCAACGAGGGGAAAAAATAAAAAAACTGATTCAAGATTTAATTGAGTCAATGATTCATGTATAACTATCTAAGAGGTGTCCAGGTTTACATCATAGGATTATTGGTAAGATACACCTTGTATTTGCATGATCTCATTCTAAGCTTCAATGCAACAGTGAGAATATTTTCCTTTTTTTCCCCTCTTCTTTTTCCTTTTCTTCAGAATATCCTTAGGATAGGATAGCACTTACGTCTCTTTTTGCAGGAGGTGGCCTTCTACGAAGATGGTGAACCCATAATAGATGGTGAATCAGGGGATCTTAGGGTCAGATCTTTGTCCTTGGCTTTGTATTGTACCTACTTAAATTTAAATTTTGCACTAACACTACTATCAAATTTGGGCAGTTTCGGATTCGCACTGCACCCCATGATCGCTTCAAAAGGGAAGGCAATGACCTGCATGCAACTATTACGATAACTCTGGTAATTTTAATCTCACTTGCTGATCTGGTGCATTACTCAGTGAGATCAACATGGGTATGGCTATGGCATGTCTGTTCCTTTTGAGTTGAACAGACTTTTATTGTCAATTTTCTATTTACCAGTAACCATTTAAGAAATTCGAAGGCCAGTCAGCTTAGAATATTTGGCTCTAATTCATTTCAAATTTTCCTGTAAATCAGACATTTTCGGGGATACTGAAGTGATTATTGAGTTTGTTTGGTCTTGAAAAAGGTAGTGGAATGCCTATAAACCTAGCTTAGTATCCTTTAGAAATTCCAATACAGCCCCCTTTACAATGTTTAAGCACGGGCAACTCCTACTTGATCCTGTGGGATAGGGAAAAATCTGAAGAGAAAGAAAAAAAAAGGGGGGGGGGGGGCGACTGATATTAATTGTGCCAAAATACATGGAGTTAAGTTGACTACCATGTAGCTTGCAAAGACCCTATGGAGAATGTGGTCAGAAATCCATCATGGAGTCCGGCTGATATTAATTGTGCCAAAATACATGGAGTTAAGTTGACTACCATGTAGCTTGCATAGACAAGTGTTAAATCCTATGCGGATTAGAAGTTTTTTTACATTTAACTTGAGAGAAGTTATTTGTCCTGTGTGGGTAGCATAAGAAGTGTGGCGTTTAGAAGAGGATGTTTATTAAACTTGCTTTCCAGTATCAAGTTATTATGGATATGCCTATAGGTCATTTGGTTTCTCTCATCATATATGGTTGCTCTCTTTTTCAAAATACTAAATTAAATTAAGAATAATAGTTTCTATAGTTAACCATTTGTTGTTTGTTGAGTTTACTGGTGTTGGATGCGCATTATCGAATTAAGAGAGATGGAATTGGTCCAAGGTGTAAGAAGTTTTCATATTTGGTTATAGCAAAGTGATTGCTTCTTCGGCCTGAACCAAGAAATCCCTTGATATGAATCATGATGCAAATTGATTGTGACGATGTAATACTGAGGAGAGGACAAATGGTGCAACCTCAAACCAACCCCCCCCCCCCCCCCCCCCCCAAAAAAAAAAAAAAAAAGGTTGGTTCTCTTGTGAGTAGATTTACCAAACCCTTTTTCTCTCAGGTGCAAGCTCTTGTTGGTTTTGAGAAGACCATAAAACACCTTGATGATCATCTAGTGGACATCAGTTCAAAGGTGAGCATGTATATTTGTTTTACCAAACGTAGAGAATAGCAACTATAAGGAAAGAAAACAAGTAAATAAAATAGAACAACTGCTATGTGCAGTAAAATTGATGTTTTGCATTGTTCAGGGAATTACAAAGCCGAAGGAAGTGAAGAAGTTCAAAGGTGAAGGTATGCCATTACATTTCAGCAACAAGAAGGGGGATTTATACGTCACGTTTGAGGTTCTTTTCCCTACATCACTAACGGAGGATCAGAAGACGAAGATCAAGGCAATTCTTGGTTAGGGTACATAATTGAGTATTTTTACTTAATTTCTAAGAGGTTCCAACTCTAACATTACGAGGACCTTATAGAAGATTTTGGCCACTGGTATTTATTTCCCTTTTTCTTTTTTGTTTAACGAGTAGCAAATTGACTCAATATATCCTTGTTGTAATCCTTCAGTTTCCTGCACCGTAGGACTTTTTGGATGATGTTTCCGACCTATTTGAGGTATAGATTTTCCCTTTGTTGTGGAAACCTAGCAACAGAAGGCAGTGCTAAATTTACGTTCAATTTGCTATAACATATTCGGTTCAGCATCTTAATGTAGCTGATGTCAGTCCTACGTATCATGGATGCAACAATACAACTTCACCTTGCATAGTTAAAAACTACAAGATTAACCATATTGTGGGCTTCAGAACTTAGATCAAACTACATCCTGACTGGTCATGTGAAGCAGGAGGAAATTACTGACAAGACCAACCATGAAGAGTTTGGGCTGCTGCATTCACCATGGAAGGAAATAATACATTACTGGTTTAAGTACATACTTCCTTACATGGCTTGAAGAATCAGCATCAATCCTATGTAAATGAAGATGTGCTGAGGGCTTACCCTTGAAAAAAGGCGTCATTGGTGAATGCACATGCCTGTTTTGGAGAACGATTTTTGCTTTTATTTAGAGAGGAGAAAAAGGGTGGGGGGGGGGGGGGATTGGACCAGTCTGAGAAAAAATACATAAATTTGAATCTGAGTAACTAGAACTAAACTAGAGTTTGTGCTCTCCCCTATCGCTCAATAGTAAATGGTACCCATTTACTTGACTAGCAAAAACGGCCAATTTCATTGGACAATGGAGAAAATTTGTTTTCTACGTGCTATACTATTCAATTTTCAAACTAGAATAATGTGGTCCACCGAAACCTAAACATTATACTTCTTCGTTCTGTCACGACTGACTGACGAAACAACGATCTTCGGCCAAGCAACACATACAAGAGGAGACGATGAGGAAAAGGATAAAAAAAGGTCTTGCGGAATAGCATTTTAATCTTACTAGTTGTAGTAAAGATCCCAAAGCAGTATAAAATGAACTGTCATTCTTTGTGGACACCAGATTTCCAGAGCGATATCAATGGTTACCACTTATCAGGAAGGATTAGCCATATTTAAGAGGCAAACATGATGCCACCTCTTTAAATGGGAGAACCGTTTTCCAATCTTTGTTGCCTCGGAGCCATAAGGAAAGCTAGGGTCAGAAACTGAAACCTTGGCTTTCTTAGAGAAGCTGAACATTTCGGACACAAACAAAAATGGACTTCAACTAAAACGATTGTCAAATATAGATCCCAACCACCCAATTCCCAAATGTATCCTCCCTTTAGGAATGAATAGAATCTACCTTTTGAAATAAGAACAGAAAATTGAGAGGACCCTAAAAGAATCTACCTTGTTCTCCAAAAGAGTAACTATTTCATTCTACCTTCTTATGCAGAGGATTAAAGGGCAGCTTTGCTAGTCGTTCAAAAGCAGATCAGAGCTAATCAATCGCAGCTTACCAAATCAGTGACATGCTCCACAACAATGTTCTCCACAAGCGCCACAGTTTCTGGAAGCTGCTGGAAGTGCAGCACAAGAAATTCACAGTATAGGTAAAAAATTAACCAACAAATTTAGCAATCATAGTAACTGTCACCTCTGACATATGTAAGTAGCATCATGTTCATTAAATAAAGTCAATCTACAAAAGCATCCTTTGTTTCTGCCAAGAAAAAATCAGAACACATCTAATTTCACAAAGCCAAACAACTACGATGGAAGACATTCACAAATGTACTTCGTTTCAAAGGAATATATTATGTATGCACGCAACCATGCAATAACGAAATCCAAATAAACCAACCTAAAGAAGCTTAAAATTCTCAAAGCTTAAAGTTCTCAAAAAGAAGCCTCAGTCGATGAGTTAAAAGACCTTCTCCTACGATAGAAAAGTGGAAAGATGGAAAGTTAGAACGATAAATAAAAATCATGTTTGGTAAGGAATGATGAAAAAGTGGATGAATTAACTTGTCTTCCAACTCACCAAAATTAATTCCTCCAAAATCGGAAGAAAAGTAGATGAAAAGTTAATTATTTGTGTTAAGATATATTTTATTTGTCTATATATCTTATGTATACATTAATTTCATATAAAAATACAATGGTAAAATATGTATATATATTTTAATAAATTTTAAAAAAATTAAAATTAAAAAAAAATATTTTTTCCATCTTAACTAAGGTTGAAAATTTTCGACTCAACACGATGACACGACTCGAATTCGATACGAAAATAAAATGGTCAACTCGCAACTCGACACAACATAATTAATTAATTGAGTTAAATTATGTTTGACTAATATTCGATACAAACTCGTAATAATTCAACACGAATTTGACACGACACGACTTGACTCGATTGTCACCCCTAATCTTAGCCAGCACAAAAAAAAAAAATAGTCATTTTATTTTCCATCCATCCATCCAACTAAACACAAAGGAAGAAAAGCGTATCCTTTCTACTTTCCATCCTTGAAGGATAGAAAGTGTATCCCTCCTACTTTCCATCCTTCCTACTTTCTATCCTCTCTATCAAACGGAGCATTAGAGTCGGCAAAACAAGAGGAAATAAAGCTAATCTTTAGTCCTATCATTAAGTCTTTGAAGGTGTGCGTGCAAGATCCTGCACAATATAAAAAATATTGGGAACAGATCTCTCCCCTGGTGAACTCTGAGTGAGCCGGTGGAGTGGCCAAACACGCTGCTTGAAACAGCCTGCAAGGTACGGTGGCAACCTGGAACGGCAAAAGAAGATCCTGGGAAAGGAAGAACAATCCTGTACGGGTGAAAGGTTTTCCTGGAACAAAGAAGAACAAGTTAGAAGGGTGCCGGAGTGTTTTCCGGCGTATCCCCTCCGACGGTCTAGTCAGTCTTTGAGTGAGAGAGAGGAAGGAGAAAACACTGAGAAAAAATGTACTGTCGTAGAGAGTTTGTGATTGCATACCCGCTTTGCCTTTGGGAAGGGTATTTATACCTTAAAAGCTCATGATTGCTGTCAGTGTGGTCAGTAGGTGATCATCAGGCATAGGTAGCGTGTGTATGGATTCGATGAGGAATGTCTTCTCTAATTGACTGCTCGGGGTCCCGAGCAATCAATGCTGAGCCGTCGGGACGCCGACGGTACAATATGCTCCTTTCGGGAAGGATGCAATAAATGCTCTGTAATAGGAGCATTTATTGCCTTTCATATCCGAACCTTACCGCATTGAATGCGGTCTCGTCAACAGAAGGGTGCAATTAATTGTTTGTTTTCCCACAGCGCGTGTCAGTAACGGCGTGCCGTTCGTCTGTCTTTGATGTGACATCATTTGTCACACGTCCACCCCTTACTGGCTGTGATTACTGTATTCCGGCATGTTCTGACATTACTTGTGTAAGACGAGGTCATGATGAATAGTCTAGACCGGCATAGGCTGATGACCTGTACGTCCGTAGCTTTATCCGAGAGTAGAGGAAGCGTCCAGGACGGAGTGACTCTCGGCACCGAGGAAAGGATCACCTCGGGGACCGAGGGTGGTATGCTTCGAGGTACACGGGTGACCGAGGACACGTGTTTTGTTTGTATAATACACCGAATGCATGATTCTACGTGAGAGGTACCTCGAGGGAGAGGACACTCTTTGCCGATGGTGCATAAATGCGAGAAACACTGTTCCAGAAATCCCGAGGACACGTGTCTTCATCATAGGGTTTTTCAGAAGAGTCCCATCAACTGCCCCCCAGCCTTCGATCTTCTGACACCGAGGACACGCGTTGTAAGGAGACGAAGGGTTTTCCAACTGCCATCCGTCCTTCATTATGGCCTCGAGCAGCTTTCCCCGGCTTGGGACGTCGTGCGCATTAAATGCGCTGTTTTGGTTCTCCCGCCCAATGATGACAATTTCCCCCTATATAAAGGGGGTTCTTCTCTGGTTTCCATCATTTTGCCATTCCGATCTTTGACCCAGAGTACGCCATTCCTGATCTTTTCGCCGGAGTTCTTGTTTCCTCTGCCATCGTCGACTGCTCTTTCTCTCAAAATTACAGAGCCAGTAAACCCATTGTTGATCCTGGACTTTCCGGTGCGAGTCATTTTAAAGTTTTTCCTGAAAAACTCCGTTTTCGACGTTTCGGGTGAGTTTCACAACCTTCTTCTTTATCGTCCTCCTAGCCTTTTTGTTTTCCGGTTGAACGGTGGTGTCATCCGGTCGGTACGTCTTGATTTAAACCCTCGGGGAACTCCCTCAGGTTTTCAAGAGTAAATACCTTTTTCTTCCTTTTCTTTTAGAGATGCCTCGTCGTCGCCCTGCTCCGAGAATCCACTGGCTGGTCCCTCGGGGTCAGGGAAATACAAGGTGAAAGGCGAGGAGCAGATCGATAGGTTCAGGGTTAAGTACGACATTCCCCCGAGTGTAGACGTAGTGGATTTTAACCCATTGTTGAACTCTCCTACCTTCGGGGCCGCGGATGCCATGCCTTTCTATACCAAGGCCATCATAGAGGGTGGAATTAGGTTTCCTTTACCCCCCCTGCTTCTTCAGTTCCTGTCTCGCTTTCGTCTCTTCCCCGGCAATGCTGCCAACAACTCTCGAATAATCATGGGGTCTTAGAGCTCAATAGGCGCCTCGGGGTGAATATTGGGCTCAATGATCTCCTTTTCTGTTACTCCCTCCTAAGAGTCATGCCTCACCAACACTTCTACCTCAAAGCCAGGGACCCCTCCTTGTACCTTGTAACCCATCTTCCTGATTCGGACAGGGGTACAAGGACGACATCTTAATCTTCAAGGGATGTTGGGAGAGGTGTTGGTCCCGAGTACAATGACTTTTTTTGCCCTCTGGAATGGAGAACGACAAGTACGTCGGTTCCTTCGGGTTCTTTATCTGTTTCTCGGGACTTCTTATGTTTATGACAATCTTTTTGTTCTGCAGATATTCCTTCTCGGGAAACAGCTCCACCTCCTCGGTCGCTGGTGAACTTTGCCGACCTAGTAACGATTTGGAGTTTCACGGGTGCCGACGGGTTCGGCCGAGCTGCTCATAATCTGCTGTACTATACCCCCGGGTACAAGAAGTTCTCACAGCTTCCTCAACCTTTCGAGCCTTCGCAGTGGTCAGAGCTCTTCGATCAGGCGGCGAGGCTAGAGGTCGAGGAAAACTTGGAGGAAGATCCGGATCGGGCTTCAGAGGGAGAGGTCGAGGGAGTTGCTGAAGAGGTCGGGGTCAGAGAGGACGCTGTTCCTTCAGACGCCGAGGTGGGGACTCCCGGGGGAGACTTGTGGCCAGACTTCCAGATCCTTCAATCTTTGGACGCCGAAGACGCTCTCGAGGAAGCGATGTCTAACGCCCCTCGCATTAATTTGGGGTTCCTTAGGCAGAGGCAAGCCCTCGCAGCCGGGAGAGGTCGAGGGACGACCGGTGGTACTGCGGGGACGAGTTCCGCCACTTCTTCGAGGGTTCTCAGTCGGGGTCAGGTGCGAGACCAGGATCT